TTCTGAAAATGCGAGTCCAGGGCACAGGAATCCTTTGGATCTGTTTGTCTTTGCATTCTGGTGGGGAATTTGTTTTCCTTCAGATTTTCTTACTTTTTTCTGGGTTTATGCTTACGAGATAAAAGAAAGTCAATGCAATGTCAATAAAGCCAATGAAAGTCAGAAAATAATTGAGCTACAAGGGCTGTTGGATGTGGTTGCTCTTACTTTTGTGGGAAAATCTATCTGGGTGGAAGTGTATTTGAGAATCTCATGTTGAGATAGATAGAAGAAGCAAGATTTGACGAGATTGATCTTCTCAAATTTGGTGGTGTCAAGGCAAAGTTGCTGCTCGCTCCAAGGATGCAAAGCTAGCGACTGCAAGCAGAGGAAATACAGCAGTGAGGACAAACTTTGTGATGTCCAAAGATAGGAAAACTCCTAGTACCAACAAAAATGTAAGTAGTCTCTCTTTTCTTCCTTAAAGCGTTTCTCCTTGTATAAATCAATGGAACTTCCTTGGGTTGAGGAGATCACCCGTGGATTGATCACAAATATGGAACTGAGTGAACTGAGCAAGGCAGCATGAAGGAGAAAAAGTTTACCAGCTGTGTCAGGAACAACACCTGAAATATGCGCAGTTGCGCCATATTAGTAAATTTCCAAAACACTGCGTTGTGAGCTGCAAGCGAACTTAAGTTTAGACCAGCACACAAGAAAACGAAAACTAACCTTGCACGCAGCAGCCATGGCGCTATGGATCCCAGGGCCGCAGAGCAGGAGAAAGACTCCAAGCCACCAGCCACCCTACTTTCTAGAGCTCCACTATTACCCTTTTACGTTTCAGAATCTTCTCGCTTGAGAGCACTGGACATTTGAGTCTCTGCTTTGTTTTAACTTGCAATCTATCAACATATTAATCAAAGATATGAAGAACACAAAGAAAAAATGAAAGAACACACAAACTCTCCATCTTGGTAGCAGTCAATCTCTGAAGTTTTTGCTACTGCTCACTCGCATGAGCACGCATCGAGAAGAAGACCTGCTTACCAATGCTAAACGCCTGAATAATTAAAGACAGCCTTACCCACAGAGCAAAGAGAAAAATCCTGTTATCTTCCTTGAGTGAAAACTTTGTCAAATAATATTTAACTAAACCTTACGCACCTTACCCGCAGCTACACTTGCCCTCCACATTCGAGGCACTGGCGGCTCCTTTTCTGCAAATTCCACGATTCATCTTCTTCCACCGATAGTTGCACGCAATCCAGATTTTCTGAGAAGCTGCAAAATTCAGATTTCTGAAACGTGCTGCGCCAATGTACAAAAAAACATTCTTTTTCCACTTTTTTATTTGTTATTTAGACTGTTGTGTGACTCAAAACTTCACACTCCATTTCCCTTCTACCACTTTTTAGCTTTTATTCCTCTCTTTTTCTTTTGTTGTAATGAGCCTACGAATATTTAGAGGAATCTAAATTATTAAATTATTTATCTAACTAAAGATAAGCATGGCATTAGTATATAAAGTCATAGGTTAGAACTTTCTTAGAATCTAGATTCTGAAGAGTGAACATAGACATGAATGCCTAATGGAGTTAATAGGATATCCTATAGATTTTTACACTTATATCTAGCTCTTTATTAGATTTTTTCAACTTTGGTTGTGGCTTCGCATTACTTCTTTGGTCACCTTTTTATAAGAGACAATATTGTATATTATTGTATAACATGCTTGGAAAAAATTAAGCTCATGAATTGGGGAAAGCTATAAACTACTTTTCATGTTAAAGGTAGTGTAATTGATTAATTTTTCCATTCTACTTTAGTCACTTAATCGCACCTACAACCACTTGGAAGAGTCTTATTCACAACTTCCATAAGTCCCATTCAGGACTTGGGGCTTGTTAGCCCCGAGAATAGCATCCATGCCACTCAACCTTTGCACTTGGTCCAAGTGCTTCACGTGTCCAATCCCATGACTGACACCTCAAGGTACCATTGACATATGAACTTGTTACGCTAGGCCACACTCATTCACCTTGGTCACATCAGTGGTTTAACACCACTTGCATTGCAATCCCGTCTCTCCAAGACTGGGCCATTCTCCCATGAGTGATCATCCCAGATCCATTCTTTAGCATCCTTAGGATGCCCATAGACATGGGGAATAGCCTTCCTCAATATCTCCATTCCGGTCTCCATTAAATCCTTTTCTATCCTTGGCCATGTTCGCCAATATTGCTACTGGATCGAGGCCCATGGGCTCGACCACTAAGTCCCACTGTCCTTTAAGACTTCCTCACTGTGTGATTGTGTCCTGGTCACCACACTAGAGGGCTACTCCTCTTCCTTTCCACAAACTGGGACTTTGGGACAACATTTCGGAACACCGTGGCCCTACGCGGGCCTCATGGGTACTCTCCCCGCCTTCTGCCTTTAGGTGCTCTAGCTATGGGTTTAGAGAGAGGTTCTATTGAGCCATGCCAAGTATCCAAGTAGATAGTGCCACCCACACTTGGACTGGGAGCATCGGCCAGTCAATCTCCTAGGGGAACTAGAGTTGGCTCTTGAACACTTCACCAATCTACCCCACTTGCCAGTCCGTATTCACTTTAGTCTTGGACTTCCCAGTGGTTATCCCATCACCCAACACCTGGGTGCAGCCTTCCTGGTCCAAATTGGCCTTTCCTGGCCAAACTGGCTCCACTAGAGTCCTCCCCCTACTATACTTTTGGAGCTCACTAAACCCCCCAGGGTCTGGGAGATGAACACTTTGGGCTTTCACCCTCTCAGACTCGAACTCGGACTCGGACTCGAACTCAGACTTGGACTCGGACTCGGACTCGGTCTTGGTCTCGGTCTCGGTCCCGGTCTTGGTCTGGGTCTCGATCTCAAACTCAGTCTCGGACTCGAGCTTGGGCTCGGTCTCGGTCTCGGCCTCGGTCTCGGTCTCGGTCCTGGCCTCGGTCTCGGTCTCGGTCTCGGTCTCGGTCCCAGTTTCAATTTCGGATTCCATCTCAAATTCCATTTCAGGTCCATTTCGGACTCTATCTCAGACTCCATCTCGGACTCCATCTCGGGTCCATCTTGGACTCAATCTCAGGTCCATCTTGGGTCCATCTCGGGTCCAAATCGGACTCCACCTCAAACTCTATCTCGGACTCCATCTCAGACTCCATCTTGGATTTCACTTTGGACTCCATCTCGGACTCCACCTCAGACTCCATCTCAGACTCCACCTCGGACTCCATCTCGGACACTTCCACGTGTCATGTTTTGGTCCTCTTGTGTCCCTTTTTCTAGAGACTCACTCATGGCTCGCCTCGTGCTTGTTCCTCGAGCACTTCGTTGGGAGTTCCACTCCCACTCTCGACCTTTTCAAGTCGAAGCTTTTTGTCCAAACGTGTTACATTCGTTTGGCTTTCGCTTCGGCCACTACTATGTGGCACCCTTTCGGCTCCACTTTGGGGCTTAGGGATTTTGTGTCTCACAGGTAGCACTTTAAAAACTTACTTAGGAAAGATGAGTTAATATATAATGCTTAGTAGTTCCATGCCTATTTTCAAAGCTTTTCTTTCAGCTATAGGCTTTATATATAATTTTTTTCAAATGTAAAAATGTTTTACCTCCATGAAAATAGATATTTCTAGTGTGTGAGGTGCTATTGTATCAATTTGTACTTTCAGCGACTTAATAAAGTCTATACATTCAAAAAAACATTAATAAAATCAACTTGCACATATGTAATAAATGTATGTTAAATTTTAGGGTTTATTCCCCTTATAAAAAGTCCAAGTGATCTATGTGAACTGTAAATGTATTTTATATATTCACTTGGAATAAATTATTCACCTTAGTATAAAAAAATTGATTTACAGTAATTGGGCATTTTAAAAAATTTCCAAACAAGGAGGTTATTACAAGATACTTGTTGGATTATGAGAATTAACGTCAAATATATATATATATATATATATATATAGTTTAATATTTAAATCATGTTATCATTTAATTTTAATATTTGATCAACCAATAGCAATATCCAAATTTATTTTGAGGGAAAAGTTTAGCAAACTTTTGTTTTAAATTTTTAGGGGCATATGAATAATTTTTCATAACTTTATTTAATTATGTATATGTAGAGATCTTTCACTCTAAACTCCATCTTACAATGGAAAAACTAAATATTTTCTATATTTAGAAAATCTTTGAAGTATTTCACAATGAAAATTATAATATATGAATAAATTATCTTGAGCTCTTTAGAAAGTTTACACACATGTGTTAATTAATACTAAAGGCTCAAAGTAAACTTATTGAAAATTTATATAACTATAAATTTTTAAAATATTTTTCACCAATCAGCCTATCACAAATTAACCTTAATTCAAGATTTAAATAGGAACCATATCACTACTCGAGATTCGTGTGTCGTGCTCGCATGCTCTCCACGCTCTCACCCAGCTTGGCGCGCAATTCCAGCACCACCAGCTCGAAAAGCACGAACAGAGCTCCCTCGTACACGCTACCCATTGGAAGGATGCCCGCCACGTCACCGCTCCCGCTAGTCACGTCGTCCGCCATCGTCCTTGCTGGCAGCACAACAAGCGAATCTACCCCTGCAATGTCATCCACCCGCTGCGCTGTCAGCAGCATAACACGTGCCCCGTCCCTATTCGCGACACGTAGGATCCCGTCCACGGTCGCGAAGCTCCCGGGGCCTGGCCCCGCGCTGCAGATGAGGAGGTCGCCAGCGCCAATTCGCGGCGCGCTCATGTCGCCCACGCAGCTTGCCTTGAGCCCTAGATGAAACAATCGCATCGCCAAGGCCTTGAGCATCAATCCCTCGCGCCCGACGCCGTAGAGCACGATTTGCCCATCGCGATCCCTCGCGGCTCCAATCTCACGCACCATTCTCCCCGCCGGATCAAGATCCAGCTCCTGGGCGCGCTCAAATACCTTAGAAATCTCTCCCAGCGCCGCGGACGCCATGGCGGATAGAGAAGATGACGAATCCATTGGTGAATATTCTCTCTTTTAAAAAAAATCCTTTGTTTTTCTCTTTTGGTGTTTTACATGGCGACCGTGTTTTCCATCCTGTGACTTTGGAATCCAGTTCTGTAGCACAAGAAACTTCTTTAGCCCACGATCCAGAGAGAAAGAGATAGAGATCAATCAGTCTAGAGACTTTTTCTTTGTTCCAAGAAAAGAGAATGAGAAAATTTGCAGACCTTTCGGCGAGATTGGCTGATCCCTCCTCGAAAACTTCCAAGACTAATGGTCTTCGCACGGCCGACTCACTGCTCGATCTCCCATTCTGGTGGGGCTTGTACGGTGGGATTACGTCCACTACCAGGCACGTTGTGTCGTCTCGTAGGCCTGCGACTCCTAGTGCCTCCTAAAAGAATTTCCAAAACGAAGCAGTGAGTGCCAGCGATTCAAAGACGAGCGAACCGAGAGAACTTTCTTTTCGGCTCTAAAAAAACAACCATCACTCACTTTCACGATATGCTTGGCCGCGAGGTTGGGTGGCAATCCACGGCAACACTTCGCAGCTTTCTCAGTCGAGAGTGCGTCCCACACACCATCCGACGCGATGATAATCCGGCCTCCGGTTTTGGGAAGCTGGGAAAAAAAAAACAGAGAGTAAGTTCCCAATGGATGATCATTGCTAGGAGAGCTGACTTTTCTAATACCTTCACTTGCTTCACGAAAGGCACCGCCACGATGTACTCTCCCACGTCTGCGTCCCCTATGGATCTTGATAAGCAAAGGCCTCCTGGCCAGCACCTCAATGGGCCATACTGCACGAAAGAAAAGGAAAAATAAAAACTTCGCCCACTAAGTTCCATGTCTCAAAACGAAGAAAAGCAGATTACTCTCACCTCCACGCCGAGAGCTGTGCTTAATCTCCCGACTTCGCCACCGCAATCGACAATTCTCTGTCTCCTGCATTAAATACCACATAGCGAGGCATCGTTAGACAGTTGAGCGAACTATTAAGTGCTGCAAAAACTGGAAAACAAACAAAGAAAAGTCGAGGGGAGCAGAGAGGAGAGTTTAGCCACACGAGATTTCACTCACTCGGCTTCGTTGTCGTCTAGTCTGTGGTCAACAGTCATTGGCATTACACCGGCCTCAGTGTCCAGCACGCACCGAGAGTCGCCAACCGACGCAACAGTCACAGTCCATCTATCGACGATCACAAGAGACACGGTGGTTCCTGACGTTTGTCCTGGTAAGTTAACACATCGAAGTGTTAATCCCAACTCGTGAAGATCCAACAAAAGCAAGCCCAAGAGAAAAAACGAGAAAATCCAGAAAGCAAGCATGAGTGATTGAGAGAAAGAAGAGAATTTGATACCTTTCTGTTGGAAATCCCTGTCGGTCTTTAGAAATCCTTTGATCATTGCCTCGGGGAGAATTGATAGCCACTCGTCTCGATCCAGTCGCGATGGAAGTGCGCTCATGACGTCCTTGAGAAGGTGTTCTTTTGCGTGTACTGCCGCCGCCGATCCATTGTGACCATCGAAAATCTGTGGAAAAAAAAAATTAAGCATCGAAAACGCTAGACGAGAAAAATCCAATCACTCACCGCAAAGACTCCAAATGTGGATGATCCATCGCCCGGAATTCTCTCGCAATCGATCTTGACGAGAGCAAAATCCTCGCCCTTCTTGGATTGTCCGGACTCCCCGCACACGAACACCGGGATGGCATTCTTCTCCACTTTCTCGATCCTCTCGATCAGGTGCTCCTGCTTGAGCAAATCGGCCAGAGCCACCATGCCGCTGCGGTGCTGCCGCCTGTTCCTGGTGGCGTCGCGATCGCTAGCCATCGCCCAGAAATTTTAACATCTACTGCTATCGATAAACCTAGCTGGCCAGAGATTGCTCTTGCTGCGATCACGATCCACTACTCGGCTCTCCTGGATCCCTTGGAATTGGTCGCAGTCGCAAGATGACAAACCGGATTACCTAGTCCAGGTCACTGTGCCGTGCTGCTGCCGCGTTAGAAATTTCTCTCACTCCCTCGAGTCAGATCGATCGATCTCTCTCCAAGAAGCTCCAAGATCGCGCGAATTTCGGTCGCTACTTGCTGGAGAATGCACGTCACGGCGATCGATGGACAGGGGAGAGAGGAGAGAGACAAGAGAGAATAAGAGCCCTAGAGTTGAGGATTGGGAGCTCGCATCCCTAAAATTCCAGTATATAGCACCACACACAAGCCGAGGACGGGATTAGCAAGGAACACACTCACTTGCAAGGAGAATATTCTTTTACCAGTAAAAGTATATTCATGAAAGCGAGTATTCTTTAAACAAATCAAGCTCTATTAATACTAATAACTTACAAGTACATAGAGACTCTATGGCCTCTTTTGTTGTGTGGGAGCGCAATGCTGGCTTTGCCAATGTTCCAGCCTTGGAGGAGGATCTCTGGAGCGTCGTTCGTGCTACTCTGGAACGAGATGGATGCCGCAAGCTTCTCTCCAGGAACTATGGAGAAATAGTTCTGCGAGTAGCTCACTGGAAGCAGTCGCGTGTCGGTGCTTCGCAGCTGGGATCGCTTGTTTCTCGAGTGAACCGAGAGCCGGAGCCAGAAAGCCACACCTCTTGCTGCCACCGCTGGAGATTTTGAGAAGAGGAGCTCTGAGAATCTCTGAGAGATGGAGCTGGAGCTGGAGCTAGAGCTGCTACTGCTGTTGCTGCTGGATAGATTTTCAATCTCGACATTTATGTTGAAGTTGCCATTGCGAGAGCTGCTTTTGAGCGACATCTTCACTGGAACCGGTGCCAGTTCGTTCTTGAGAGCCTTGTAGTCGCCCCCGGATTGATGGAGCCAGTAAAAGTTCCTGGAAATGGATGTCCCCGAGCTATCGACGAGCGTAAGGAGGAGGAAATAGACCTCCGACCAGGAACTTGCAGGAGTCAGCTTCATTATGACAATCGTCTTGTAGGCTGGCACTTTGAAGTTGGCCATTGTCTCTTGGTATGGTGAGTTGCCTTTTAAATCCCACACTGCCGCTTCAACTCGCGTATCCTGGAAGCTCTTTCGTGTAGTATTGACAATCTGAAAGAGGATAGTAGTGGTTCACGGGGAAAATACGCACACGAAAAATACAAAAGAGTACCTCGATCGCGTAGGTGACAGGGTTATACTGAACGTGAACGGGCTCGCACGCAGACTTCACGCCGTAGAAACCACCTGTTTGATCCAAAAAATAGTCGTAGAGCTGGCCTCTCAGACCAGGCCAGGGGTTCTGAGTTTTCCAGATAAGGACTCCCGTATACTTGGTCCACATTCGCGAGTTCCAGCTCTCCATGAGAGCACGGTACTGAACGTAATTCACGAGCTGGGCCTGTACACAAAGAACATATTTTGCAATGATCAGTTATAAAAGCGACGTTACCTTGTCGCAAAAATCGTCAAGATCGGTGGCATCTCCATACTTCGCAATCTGGTGTGGAACCTTTTTGTCCGGGTTGGCGTAAGGAATGTAGGTGTGGAGTGTCCAAGTTGCATTTGGAATCTCTCTGACAAGCCCGTCAGAGACCTTTTGTGTCGTCGGGATGTCCCACGCTGACTCTGGCATTGTTGCTTTTATCGTAGCCGCAAGAGGAACTCCGACGGATCCAACCTCCGGGTTGAAGCCGTAGGCATAAAAGCCGTCCTGGAAATAGTCTTCCGGGTTCAGAATGTTATACGGACCGTCTCGAAACTCTCCTGTGCCTGCTGCAAATCCCTCCCACAGCGAGCCTTGGATGTACAAGCGAGTTCCATCCAAAAGATGGCTGGGATTCTCGTAAGACCCTGCCTGCGTCAGCTTCAAGTCTTTCATCAAGGCCTGGTTGATATCTTCTGGCGGATGCTGTTCGTTTCCCCCGACCCATAACGCGAGGCTTGCGTGATTTCTCAGCAACTTAACTGTGTCCCGTGCACATTTGAGAAACAGTGCATGATCTAGCGGCCAGCTAGCATCGGAAGGAGGAACTCCACGACCGTTACAATCACCTGTGATCCAAAACTCTTGCCAGACCTGTGGAAAGAAAAAGAAACTCGAAACTTCAGGCATCTATGAGAAGGATCGCATACCAGAATTCCGCGTTTATCACACGCGTCATAAAACTCGGGCCTCTCAGCCAAAGCTCCTCCCCACACTCGAATCATGTTCATGTTCGTATCTGCGTGAAAGTTGACGTCTGTTTCGTATCGCTCCTTTGATAAACGGAGTAGACCATCGGAGACGATCCAGTTCCCTCCTCTGATAAACACGGGTTGCCCGTTAACTTGGAAGTGCCTGCACATTGGCAACGTATAGACATGTAGGAGAAAAATCCAAAAGAAAAAGGAAGAAACAGAGAACATACCTGCTCTTCGTGACAGGGTCCAGAAAGCTGTCGATTTTACGGAATCCAAAGTTGTGACTCCAGCTATCAGACTCTCCATTTTCATTGACCTCGAGTGAGATTTCGACTTGGTAAAGAGCCTGTTCTCCCATGCCATTTGGCCACCATAGCCGAGGCTTATAGAAGTAAAGCTGCAAAACACAGGTAGTAAAAATCAAAGACTACAGACTGTATAAAACTCACAGGCTCGAAGGAGCACAGCGTAGTAGCTCCAGAGACAATTTCTAATGGCTGTGACTGGACACCTTCAACTGAGAAGAAGCCGTCATCAGCATCTGCTGACACTTGTAGCTTCGCCGTGCACTTGATGGCAGTGGACGTTGTATTTGTGACTTCCGAGGAGACGACGAGGTACACTCGCTTGTAATCGTCGTGAAAGGTCGCCACAAGATGTGGATCACCCAAAATCGCCACCTTCAGAACAGAGAACAATTTAGAGAGGCAAACTTTGCATTCGCACTTATGTACCCCAGTGAATGAAACCGAAACCTCGTCCCATATTCCAGTGTTTCTGTCGCTGAAAAGTGAAAGACCAAGAACGATGAACTAAAAGCTAGACAAAACGAAAACAAGGCCATACCGAATAGGAATAATCCAGTCCCAGCCTTGGACGTACTGTGCTGCTACATCCTTCGCTATCTTCTCCACAAAACGAGATAAATTCAATCTCTCTTGCGTCACTGGAGCAGTCAAGACTTACGTCGTGATCGCCACCTTGTCCACCCACGGCTGGAATCCGACCAGGATGATCCGGAGGATGCACTAAGACAGCCAAGTTGTTGATCCCAGTCTTCTTCAAAGCATCTTTTATGTCTAGCTTGTGCCGGAAAAACATTCCTCCTGGAAGGCTATACTTTGATCCATTGACATAAACTTCGGCAGAATAGTTGATAGCTCGAAAGTGCAGCCATGCACGCTTGAAAGCTCTCTAAAACCCAAAGAAAGAAAACGAAGTGAAAGGACTGACACGATTCGAATGGATTTGTAAGGTAAGTACCTCGGGTGTGGCAAATTTGTTGCAGAACCAAAACGTGTAGAAATCTCTCCCAGCATCAGCGATATCGGGAACGTTTTGATTTTCCATGCCGTAGAAAGGATCGGGAATGGCCGCATTCTTGAGGAGCGTCGCCAAAACACTAGAAAGAAAGCACCAGAACTGCTGGAAATCACGAAATCCCTGTAGAAGCGATCATAATCTCTACTTACGTCCCAGGAACAACAGCGTCCATCCATGGATCGATCTTGAGCGAAGGCGCATGCGTCGTCGTGAGCTCCTCGCCTGTCCGCTGGACTTGATTCGCTCGCGCAGCAATCCAGCCGGAATCCAGCCTCTCGCGCGCCATTCCCCCGCTCAAACCCTACACGCCGAGCGACATTCTTTCTCTCATCCACTGCGCAAATTCTATTTCAAAGAGGAAATCCAAGCCCATTGTCTTAAGTTTAATGTACACAGGCTTTCTTCTTTTTTTTTTTTTTTCTCTCGTGGCACTTTCGAGCCAAAGAAAGGATCACGCCGTATAACCTTCCAAAAATTTCTGTTCTCTAAATCTGGTCCTGGCGTTTCATCAAAAGCCTTTGATTGGGAATAGCTCGGCAATCTTATTAAACACATCCATGACCTGGAAGAGAGAAAAAAAAAAGTTATAGAAGAACACGGAGAACACAAGAGACTAACTCACCTCTTTATCGTTCTGATACTTCGTTATGTTGGTAGGATTCTGGGAGCACTGCGCATCAAACCACAACAAAGATTAGCTCCTGGACGAAGGAAAACATGCGTGTTGTCTTACATCGATGAGTGCTGCCTGGATTTTGGGATTCTGGAAAGCCATGGCTATCTCTGGATTTGCTACCATTTTCGCCATCACTTCTTCCGGGGACAGTCCTATTTGCTCTGTGATTCCAAAGCTTGTCATGAGCGTGAGAAGACGTGATAAGCACAACCATACCAAATTGTTGTTTTAGTTCCTGATTGTTGGGATTGAAGTTTTTCAGCACGTCCCCCATTTGTCCGTTCTTCCAGGCCCCATCCTCGGTCATGTTATTGCTGTTCAAAACAGATCAGAACAGTGTGGAGTACGTGACAAGAAACTTACAGCATCTCCTGGAGCTGGGTCCTGAATTGAGGATTCTGCATCATCCCTGAAAACCGGAGCATCAGCAGCAATTTTTCTACTCCTATTACTCACATTTGAAAGTGCTGGGATTTCTCATTTCTTGTGGTAAGTACCTGGCAGACAACAGCATTAGTGTCGATTTAAGTGACAATAGTGAATCCTTACGGGTAAACCATTTGTTGAACCGTAGGATCCTCAAGCATCTTTTCCAAATTCTCAACCGAGAAAAAAGAATTTGCTTTTCCTGTAGAAGACGAGTTGGCACCTCACCGAAAATTTAGCTCTTACCATCAGAAGATGACGTTGAAGCCGCACCGTCAGTGTTCCAAGTGAAACCTGTTCCGCTATCTCTTACCTTCAAAGAATAAAGTCAGACTCAAGAAAAAATCCACTTAAACTAGCACTAACCTCTGCATCCTTGAAAAACACGTCGTTCGCATTTTCCTTCACCTCTGTTGCCTCAGCGTTTATTTTAACAGTAGATACTTCCGCCTCCACATTTACATCAGTGAATGCTGCGAAACAGCAACTTTAGCTCGTGAATAGCGTAGCATTGAGAACAAGACACAAACCGGGTTTGTTATTCTCGGAGACTGGCGTGGGCGTCTGCGTCTCGGAATACGATGCCGCTTCGGTACTTTCGACAACAGCTGTAGCGGAAGCGGATGCTTGAGGTTGAGTAGCCTGGGGAGAAGAAACTGGTGGTTGAAAAGTTGGCATCGGTTGCTGCTGTGGCTGCGGCGGGACAGGAAATGGAAACGGAGGAATGGGCATATTGCCAAATTGGTTTTGTCCAGGGCCAGACATCATCGATTTGAGTGCCTGTTGCATAGCTTGTTTCTGGAAAAACACGAAAGTTAAGACTGGATTTGCAATACGTGAATTTTCTACCTTTACGTAGTTAGCTGCCTGGAACAAAGTACGAGAATTTGTGTCAGCAAAGCGAATGAAAAAAAGGGAGAAAATTGCGTACCCAGGAAAAAAGAACCGAGAGGCCAACGCCAACTCCAACCCAAAGCAATGGAGAACCACTAAGTTACAAAGGCAGAGACAAAATGTAATAGATTAGCCAAGGAAGTAATACTCCATTCACTTACATGTAAGCTGGTTGCGTTGGAGGAACCGAGACAGTTTGAAGCTCTGCCGATCCAGCAGCTTGATCTTGTGCTGCATTTGCGAATTACATACTGCTCCAATGCTGGAAGAACTTAGAATTTACCTGGACTGCGGCTTTGGCACCGGACGGACAATCGCTCGCGATTCGAGAGAGGCGAGAGCACCAGGCGCTGAGGAGCTCTCCGACTGCCGTAAAACCGCACCGAGGAGGACGTGCCCGCGCCCGGTGCTCCATCGCGCCAATGTAGGGCTAGGGCTCCAAACCCTAAGGAATGCGCCATCGCCATCGTCTCCTACTCTGCCCCTGTGAAAACAAAAGAAAAGCTTAATAATTCTGTGAAGATGATAAGCCACGAGGCATCCCCGCCATCGATTCCAGCACCGGCGCTGCACCGTTGGATCCCCACACAAGCACACGTGGCATGCCACGTCAAAAAGCGTTGAACAATCAACGCGCTGTGGCCGTTGGATGGAGAAATTGACATTTTACTGGGCATGCAAACGGAATATGCTCTTTTTTGGAGACAGCTTTGCCGGAATATGCTCTCAAAGTAAAGGCAACAGGGTGTGTTTTGCCCTTCGTGCGCGTATAGTAGGTGCCGCCCTAGATATGGAGCTTTGTGCTGTCTAGATCTAGGCGCATTTTTGCCGCTCTAGCTCGATCGCTGCGACAAATCGCTCAGGGCGCTGCGGCTCGTCCGCCAGCGCGTGAGAAATCTGCTAGTCACGGTATGGTATTTCATTTCTAGGCAGGAATCGTAGAGCATTTTCTCAGCTCCGGTGAGGATTTCCACCGACATCTCCCGATCTGGTGCCGCGGGATCGTTCCAGGCTGAAATCTCTGGAAATTTCGAGCTTTTCGGTGGAAATCTCGCGGGACAGGGAACAAGGGAATGGCGCCGCGGGCTATTCGCAAGGCGCTGGGGGCCGTCAAGGATCAGACCACCATCGGCATCGCCAAGGTCGCGGGCTCCAGCGTTCCAGAGCTCGAGGTTGCCGTCGTCAAGGCCACAAGCCATGAAGAGGTGCCCGTGGATGACAAGTACGTCCATGAGCTCCTCTACCTGACCTCCTACTCGCGAGGCTACGTGAATGCGTGCCTGGGGCTGCTGGCCAGGCGGCTCGGCAAGACGAGGAACTGGGTGGTCGCCATCAAAACCCTCATGGTCACGCACCGCCTGCTTCGAGAAGCCGATCCGACCTTCGAGGAGGAGCTGGCTAGAATGGGGAGGAGAATGCTCATGCTCTCAGCCTTCACGGACGAGTCGCGGTCCAATGGGTGGGACTACACGGCGTTCGTTCGGACTTACGCGCTCTACCTCGACGAGCGCCTCGACTGCCATGTCTTTTCTCCCGGACAAGCGCCCAAGCGTGAGCGTGGAGGATACGATGGTGGTGGCTACAGGAACGAGGAGTACAGATACAGCGATTCCAGGGACTACTACGATGATAGACGACGAGAATCTCCTCCGAGACAAACCACCGGCCAGCTCAAGACGAAAGACATGAAGCCCGACATGCTGCTGGAGAAGCTGCCGGTGATGCAGCGGATCATGGAGCGTATGCTGGCTTGCAGGCCCGCGGGTGCTGCGCGGTACCACCGTCTCACCCAGATCTGCCTCTACATGATCATCAAGGAGAGCTTCCAGTTGTATGGAGAGATCCGAGACGGCATCACGGTGCTCCTGGAGGCCTTCTTTGACATGGAGTACCAGGAGTCAACCAAGGCTTTCGACATCTATGCGAAGTCCGCCAAGCAGTCCGAGGAGCTCGACTCCTTTTACAACGTTTGCAAGCACATTGGAGTGGGAAGGTCCTCGGACTACCCCACGATAGTCAAGGTGGCGCAGGACCATCTCGACACTCTGGAAGACTCGCTCAGGGAGAGATCTCGCTCTGGCTCTCGCGCTCAGAGACCAAAGAGCCCAGAGCCCAGTCCGCCACCCAAGGCCGAGGAGTCGGAGCCCGAGGACATCGATTACAATGGTATCAAGGCCTTGCCAGCGCCTCCAGTGGAGCCTCCCGCTCCGGAGCCGGAGCCACAGGTAGAGGAGAAGGACGCCGACCTTCTCAACCTGGACAAGTCGACCATGGTTGCCGAGGGTGACAGGCTCGCGCTGGCCTTGTTCTCCGACGCTCCGTCGGCGAATGGAAAGTGGGAGCCGTTCGGCTCGAGCACTCCCCAGGCCAATGGCGGCAGCGCCGCCTCCTACTCGGAGAATGGCAAAGCCGGGTGGGAGCTTGCGTTGGTGACCGAGGCCAGCAATCTCGCCAAGACTCCCACCACCTCACTCGCCGGCAACTTCGACCAGCTCCTCCTCGACAGCATGTACGAGCAAGGCAGCGTGGCTCAAAAGGCGGTGTCGAGCATGCCGGCCGGGAGCGCCAGCAGCGTCGCGATCCCGGGCAAGCCGACGAACTATCTCGCGCTTCCAGCTCCGTCCGGGACGGTGGACGAGGACCCCTTCACGGCCTCGCTCGGTGTTCCTCCGCCACCGTTCGTGCAAATGGCGGACATGCAGCAAAAGCAAAGGCTTCTCACTCAGGAGCAGCAGCTATGGAACCAGTACCAGCAAAATGGGATGCAAGGTCAGTATGGCTACACGAGTTACTACGGGAACGGGCATCCTCAGTATGGCTACTATTCTTACGGCATGGGAATGGGCGGAGCATCATACGGGTATGGTTACAATTACTAGCTTTCCTTCGTTGGTTCTTACCTTTGGGAGGAAGAATAAGCTTCGACAGCAGCAGGCATGAAGATCGTCGTCGTCGTCGTGGAGTAATAATATACATACTAGAGAGAGCCAGGTTCCCATTCTTTTTTTTTTTTTTTCTCTTGTTCTTCTTTCTCGTTTTTGACCACTCTACACTTTTGTAACTTTTGTTCTTTATATCGAATCGAGGCTGTGTTTTGCTTTTGTTGTGCTGAGCCCAGGCCGAGCATCCATCCAGATTATCGACATTATCAGGACAACGAAAGAAAAGAATACAGAGATTTTCCAAAGCTTTAGTCCAAAACTGGTTATTCAGGTTCTTTGCCTCTCTCTCTTTTGAAACCTTCGATGCTGGTGTTTTCACGCTGCTGGCTTTTGGAAGCCCTCTCCAGGCAAGCGGAGGAAGGTTCGGGCATCGAGCTCTTTATAGTTGAGCTCAAAGTCGGTTTTGTCCCTGCAAGAAAAGATCAAACAGATGAACAGGGAGAACACCCGGTACGTACTTCATAAATCTATCGATTGTCTCTGACGCTCCTTTCTTCATTGTCAGCAGCAGCAACTTGGCCTTGTCGAGATTTCGCTGCTCCATGTACTCGTCGAATTTCTCTGGATCGGTGTCAAGCCTGGCAAAGAAAGAAGTTTAGTGGATCAAGTGTATACCAACGTTACCTCTTCAACGCAGCAGCGCTTTGTTCCTCAAACAGCCTCATCCCTTCCTTGTCATCTCGAGTGAGCGGCTTACCGATTTTACTCTCTACTGCGTCGATCACTTCCATCATTGCCTTGTTGCCCTCGACGTCTTCCATGCCTTTGCTGGAGAAACAAAAGAAGGACGAAATTCGTGACACCGCACAGACAGAGAAACAGGAGAACTTACGAGGCTTGAAAGCGGCCAAGCTTCTCGTAAAACTGGCGCACAGACTTGGATCGCTGCGCCAATCCTTCCATCATATTTTGTAGCTGCACTTCTGGAGGAGGCAAGCCAACGCTGTTCCACAAGAAAAAGAAAACGAAAACAATGAATTGGAACTTTGATCGTTGGATGACTTACTTCGATCGAGCTTGCAAGATGTTATCCGAGAGCTCCTTGACAACCTTGGGATCATCAGGGTCGATGACAATCCGGAACTTTCTAAACTCCCTAGTCAAGTTGAACAAAAGCTCCAGCTTCTCGATGAATTTCTCCTTGACAATATCTATGAGAGAAAACCGTAAGAAAGCGCGCAACAATTGCTCAAAATCACACCTTTTGGCTCCTCCTCTGCCTGCTCGGCAAACGCTCGGCATGGCACGCCCTCGAATCCAGACCTCACCGGCTGCCGCATCCAAGATCAATCAATCCAAAATGCAGGATCCCTGGGCTTACCGGATGGAGCCGAGACGCAGCTCGGAGAATCCCTCCCCTCCACATCGCCATTCCTTCGCTACAAGTGCCCCGAAGAACCCTACAAACGAAAAAGCCCTATATCCCCAAGCATCGTTTCGAGGTTCGATCCTGTTTGACTAATTTTGACTCTACGGTCAAAATATGTGGACTTTTTAGGTCAAGGGAATGGTGACATTATAGTCAAAGTCTTTTAGAAGTTTCAGATCTACACTCCAGGCGCCAAAAGATGTGGAAGCTTTTGTCGGGTAAATCCTTGTTGATAGGACGACCGGCAGGGTACGAGAGCGATGAATTGATCGACACAAGAAAATGTGTGTGTGTTTGTGGTGAGAATGATAGAGTGGCTGATGTCAGGCAGTGAAAGTGGAGAACACGTAAGTTAACTTTTTTCCAGGTTTTTTTTTAATTTTTTAATATTTAATTTTTTGAAAAGGTGGTAATTTTAAATTAATTTTTCATCCTTTCTGCGAGCTTCAATAATGGTACCAATAGTAATCCTTGTGTCTGATAGGCGCTTTTCCCTTGCCACTTTTCAGAGAATTTCCCAAAGTCCCACGCTTGACTGGCCCCTCCTCCTCTTTGACATGCTCCTCCTATTTTCTCTATGGCCAACTTTCGAAAATATGTTAGTTTGATGTTGCGTGTGTTAGCGCGGGTTCCATCGGGTATCGATCACGCTTTGTGTGTGTATATAGCGACTTCGATCCGGTCAATAGAGGTCGTCTTGAAATTTTTGTCCAACGAAGTGAGTGACGTCTACGGACACATTACTGGCGCGAGTGAGATTGCGACTCGCTTGATTAACAGCGCAAAGCACTTTGAATTTCTATGCCATTCCGATCTAATCTCTTGGGCTGGATAGATTTGTAAAAATCCAAAGTGATTTGATGAGACATATACAGATCTGGAGCTGTGACGTTGGTGTGAGAGTACGGAAAAGATTCCGGGGCTTTTAGACTTTAGGCTGAAGTTCATCCAGCAAAAGGGAAGACAACGACCCCTGGAAAAATCTCTAGACAAAGATCAAAGTCATCCAACACTGAAAAGAGGGACAACTCAGTGGTCTTACACCTAATTTAGATGATAATGGAAGCAATTTGGACAAAGATAGAACTCTTTCGCGTCAACCCGGCTTTGGCTCCATCAAAATCACCATCACGAGGTCGCTGTGATCACAACGCTGTGAACAGCTGAAGCTTGAACCGATGAATTCCAGCCACCAATTCATCTTGCCAACAAGAAGGCTTGAATTTCTACAAATTCTTTGCAGTTTCGTTTTCAAAGTCGTGCTCCAAGTCTATAGGACGTGGCAGAAGTTTTGACACTCAGGGCAAGAGTATCACATGTAAAAAGCCGGCCTGTGTCCACTTGGTGAGGGCCACCTCCTCTGCACGAGTTTCATGGCAGATTCCCTTGCTTGTTTCAGCAACCAAAAATTAGTTTTGCCAACTTTTATAAATTCAATATATATCTTAGACGGCACTAAGCAGTCGGAATAAAGTATGGTGCTCTGTAGGAGTGCATTCTCTATGTGAGGCGTGAGCACTGCCTTTGCTTCTTTGCACACCTCTTATCTGTTCAGCTCGCCTTTTCTGTTTTCTTTGCTTTCCAGCTGCATGCCACTGGGAAATAAAAAAGGTGGCCACTGTAAACCATGAAGCGTCTAGAGTTGAGCACACAAATGTCCCTTTGGATCTGGCACTGCAGGTGATTGCCACAACATGGACCTGATTATGCTCGGGAAATTTGAGCTAGGCTCTGATATTTGCCAACTTTTGCCAGGACGAATGTTCGACTGTCATCTCTGCCACGTCTGTAGCCCATTGTCAAACCGCAAAGCCTCTTTGGGAGGTTTGACATGTGACCACCATTTTCGTCAAAGTGCTCCTTGGTAGCAGGCAGAGGTTCTTGCACGGACCCTCTTTTGACACCAAAAACGCCACCTTCCGTCCCTTGTGCATGTACAAAGAATACCTTGTACAAGCAAAACCAATTCCGGCAGCAAATTGGATGGCCTCATCGACATCGCCCTTTCCCAATCCTCTTGGCCTGGGAGAGAATGTGTCCAGGTTCTGTGTGAGTGATAGGAAGTGACGTCTAATCTTCTGTTGAAATCGATCAGGAAGTCATATCAAAGAAGTTGTATGTAGGTGTTGTTTTGATCTTGTGGTGCCCAGGGAGAATCTTAAGATAGGAGGAGACTTTGCCTTTGACCAACAAGTTGGCATGGTATTTGGCTAAACTCTAACCAGACAGTTTTCTTGAATCTAAAGCTTGGTCTAATGCAACTGGTGGTTTTGGTGATTTTGTTGTAATACTTAGCTGAAAGACTGTCTCCTCTTAGCAAGAGTAGCCCAAGTTGTTTGCATTGAGAGCTCTATACACAGCAGGACACAAAAGAAAATTCCAAGTTGCAGGAAAAGCCCAGATGGAGACCTTTTGTGATCACACACACACACACACACACATGTGTGTGTGTGTGTGTGTGTGTGTGTGAGATGGAAGGAAGACAAATGCATCCATCAACACTTACACCATCTGCCCCAAGAAGGGGACATTCTTTTTGTGTTTGCCACCAACTTTGAGCAAAGGGAAGGGGCTAGAAGAGTTTGTGTGCAGTGCAGCCAAATCTCCACAAATATTTGATGCCTGTTAAAAAGGGCAAGGGCATTCTCCTCGCCCCAGCATATGCCCAGCTCCACTCAACCTTGTGCCACCCCTGTGTGTTTTATTCTATCCAGTTTAAAAGCAAGACACTGATTATGAATTCAGTGATGCAAACAGTGGTACAGTGAAAAATATCATTGGGTTTTATAGTCTAATTTTTGCTGTCAAGATCAATAGAGCAGTTTGGATCCAGATTCTGCAATCAGCTGGTGTTACAATCGAAAACAAACCTTCGATTCATGCGATTCCCACGAAAGCACAGCTTAAACAAGCGCGAGTGCTTGACACCGTTCACAAAATATGGGGACCGAATATTACATGTCTCGCGCCCATTGAGCCAGCGCAGGCACAACGTTATAACTTATCTGTTGCCGCTGTTCATTATAGCTTAAAAATATAATATTTTTCGAAGTTCAGGAGGCAAAAATACTATTTTATTTTATTGCTGTGTATATTAAAGTATTAAAAATCGAGAATAAAAGGATGGTCCTTTTCCCGTACAAGTTCATGCCTGCCTATAAATCCGCATCATGAAAATGGTGTGTGGATGTGTAGAGTGCAGAGAAGCCCCTTTTTTGCGAAACAACACTTCCATTGGAACCAATCTACCCAAGCTTTCGTTCATTCCATCCAGGCTAGGCTCCCATTTTATTTTTTTCTAATCGCTTAGTTTGCTTCCTTTAAATTCGCCCTGGAAGAGAGCCATTTCGCCATACACCTGTTACAGTGTGGCGCTTTGAGAATAGCCCTATTTAAATTCTTTGTGTCGCTCAAACGCGGTGGGCTTGATCGATGCGCGACGCTTCTTCGGCCGCAAGCGAGCGATTTCTATGATTCTGTGATCCGGGGCCACACCGCCATCGAGAGCGCATGATTGATGGCATCGAGTGTGTGAACTCCGCGGCTTGCCAAATATTTCGGTGTCCATGGCCCCAATTCCAGCGACGCCGGGCGAGGCATCGCGATTCCCAGGGCGAGCTCGCAATGTCGGATGCGGCAGGGAATGCATGGCGAGGATTTCTTGCCCCGGGCGGCGCCATGCATCCGGCGGCGCCGATCGCGCAGGGAATTCCAAGAAATCCGAGGAGGAGCCGGGCGGGGCCGGCGATAGAGAGGTCGTCTCCTACTGGCAGCTCCTCAGCTACGCG